AGACAAACCCACCCAGCCTAGGTATGAGAATGTTCTTTCTGGCCCAGAGCCAGTCAGGGTCCTTAGCTTTGTTTGCAAGACGCCAATGCCTTTATACTCAAACTTCGTGGAGCTGCCACCATACTTCTGTAGTAATAGCAGTAGTGAGTGGGGAGGTACACGACGGAATTTAGGGAACTATTAGACGCCTGTTGACTCAGACATCAGGACCAGCTGTGAATGGAAATATCTTTCAACTTAGATATAATGAGAAGGAACAGAGCTGTTGATGTTGTTGAGGAGGTGGAAACAAAACCTTCAGGATGCTTGAAGATAACTGGTTTCTAGGAGGGCTGGGGGCAATAGGGCTGTCTTAGGAAGAACAAATGATGCTTCCAAAATTTGAGTGCAGAAAATCAGAAGTTAACCTTGGGTGGGTCACAAGGTTAAATGTAATGAAGGCTAAGTGTGACAAGGCTAAATGACATAACATATATAAAATACCTGGTGGGTTGCTTAGAGGACTAGACCTCAAAAATGTTGGTTCCCTCCCTCTCTCTGGATCCCCCACCACCTTAAGGATTTCTTAAAAAACGGAAAACCTGCCAGCCAGCTGCCACTGGAAAGATGTCAAGTAGGATAAGCCGCTGATAGGTGGTAACAACAAAATCCACATCCAGGTGGATGGAGCGGGGGATGTCACCTCTCCTGCCCCTCCCCTAATTACAAGTTGGAGAAAGCATCAGGGCATTCCTTCCTTCCTGCAGAGGAAGTATATGTTTTCTCTCAGACCTACCTTGGCATTCCTTGATGTCTTAGAGAAGCAGATGACCCCGGCTGAGCAAGACAGTCAGCAGAACAGCAGCCCTTGATGCTGCAATTGGAAATTTCCATTCTTTGCTTGCAGCTCTGAAAAAAAAAAAAAAAAAAATCTAAAGAGCCCAGTAGCTGGGAAATTTCCATGATGGAAAATTTTAACATATTCTTTAGCTCTAAACTATGCAGGTTTATAGAGACTATTTTTTTTTCTTTTGGTAATTTTCTTCTTTAACAATAATTTATGATCATTGTAACACTACAGCTGTGGGAATAAGGAGAACAAAATGAGTTGGAGGGGAATGGGTATGGTTTAGGCTAGTGGGAGGCTGTGCTATCTACTTGTGTGACCACCCAAATAATAGAAATGCAGATTGCTATAAGACCCACTGGTTGGGAATTCATCCAAAATAGAGAGAGCTTGCCCTGGAGCACTGCAGAGAAATCTGTGTAGAGACTGCTAGTGGAAAATGGATGGCTACCAACTTCAGACCAGGACATAGTGAGTTCTACTGCTGGAAAAAGCAACTCAGGCAGGTCCCTTAGACCACTGCTATTTAAGCTTAAAAATGCATACAAATCACCTGGGAACCTTGTTGAGCTACAGATTCTGATTCAATAGCCCTGGAGTGAGGACTGAGACTCTGTGCCCCCAGGTGACGCTGATGCTGCCTTTCTGAGGACCACGCTGTGACTAGCTAGGCCATAGACAGCAGGTCTTCATCAGTGTAAGGTCAGCTCGCCTTGGGTAGCAAAACACTGCCTAAGGGCGGCTGGAGGTGAGCCCCCGTGGGGTTGTTTGCTCAGGTTACAAAGCTAAGGTCTAAAAGTAGAACTGGATGTCTTCTGGAGAGCTGCTCCATGCAAGTCTGGATAAAGTGGATCTCTTGAGATGTGGGAATGCGAGCAGTTGCCAGAAGGCTGCTTACTCCAGCAGATTCAAATTGGGGGCTTCTAGAAATCAATGCCTTTCCAGAGAAACTCGTGCATCAAGCTGGCGAAGATTCCTAAGCTGGTCCTGATTTCTGAGTGATTCTCCAGTGTTGTGGCGTATGAGTGAAACACCAATGAACCAGCTCCAAATACTGAGGGAAAACTGTTGGTCAGGATGATGTGAAGGAGAGAAGGAGTCCAGAGAATAAATTACTTCCACCCTAGCTAGAATAGCTGCCTCACTTTTATTGAGATAAAATAAAAAGGAAATTGAAGAATTTTCCATTTACTTAAGTTATCTTGCCTTCATGTTACCAATTTTACAAGGAGAGAGAAAGATAAAAATTTGTGGCATCTTCATTATAGGATGTTACCTCCAATTGGTCTGTAATGTATCTGCTGTATATATTTTCTTTTCTTCTTTCTTTTGCTTTTTTGAGATGGAGTCTCGCTCTACCGCCCAGGCTGGAGTGCAGTGGTGCAATCTCGGCTCACTGCGACTTCTGTCTCCCAGATTCGCGCAATTCTCGTGCCTCAGTCTCCCAAGCAGCCGGGACTACAGGCAGCTGCCACCATGCCTGACTTTTTTTTTTTTTTTTTTTTTTTGTATTGTAGTAGAGATGGGTTTTCACCATGTTTCCCAAGGTGGTCTCGAACTCCTAAGCTCAGGCAATCTGCCCTCCTCGGCCTGCCAAAGTGCTAGGATTGCAGGTGTGAGCCACTGTGCCTGGCCTGCTGTATGTGTGTGTTTGTGTATATATATACATATATATATATTTTGTCCTTTTTTTTGAGATGGAGTCTCGCCCTGTCACCCAGGCTGGAGAGCAATGGCGCGATCTCGGCTCACTGTAACCTCCACCTCCGGGCTTCAAACAATTCTCCTGCCTCAGCCTCCCGAGTAGCTGGGATTACGGGCACCCACCACCACACCACGCTAATTTTTGTACTTTTAGTAGAGACAGGGTTTCACCAGGTTGGCCGGGCCGGTCTCGAACTCCTAACTTCATGATCCACCTGCCTTGGCCTCCCAAACTGCTGGGATTACAGACGTGAGCCACTGCGCCCAACCTCCTGTGTATGTTTTTAAAGCAACATTTGTCCTGTGTTTTTTGTCTTCCATTCACTTGAGTTTTGGATGGGTTGTTACTACTACCCAAAGTACACACAGGAGCATATGAAGAAAAGGAGGGATATTATGAAAATGTGATGTTGAAATCAGTGTAACAAGCATGGAATTAATTTGACTATATAATAAAAAGTATTAAAATATATATTGGAAGTAAATACGTATTCTAATATGCTAACTTCCATATAATAGTTACAAAATTTAAATGGCTTACAGAATTGTTTAGGGATTTGGACCTCCAGAGATTGGTTAATGTTTTCCCTTGCAAAAATCTTCACTGTGGAGTCAAGGTATGATTCAGCAAGGAAACAGTCTTCCTGATTACTTATGTAAGGAGATCAGTTTTTTTTTTTTCTTACTATATGTCTTGATGAGCAATTATTTATTTAGGAACCGTCTTACAACCTATAGCCAATCAAATGGAATTTACTAAATCCAAAGTCACATTTTAAAAAATTATTATTATTATTATTTAAGATGGAATCTCACTCTGTTGCCCAGGCTGGAGTGCAGTGGCGTGATCTCAGCTCACTGCAACCTCCGCCTCCCGGATTCAAGCTATTCTTCTGCCTCAGCCTCCTGGAGTAGCTGGGACTTTTTTTTCTGGGGAAAAAAAAAGCTAGAAAAAGAAATAATCTAGGTAATTTTATGTCATGTGAATTTCACCTCAATAATTTTGAAAAAGGGCCAGGTAGGTGCGCACCACCATACCTGGCTAATTTTTGTATTTTTGTATTTTAGTAGAGATGAGGTTTCACCATGTTGGCCAGGCTGGTCTCGAATTCCTGACCTCGCGATCCGCCCGCCTCAGCCTCCCAAAGTGCTGGGATTATAGGCGTGAACCACCACGCCCGGCTAAAAATTATTATTTTTGAGACAGGCTGAGATTCAGTGGCACCATCATGGCTCACAGCAGCCTCAACTCCCCAACCCCCACCACCTGCCCACGATGCCCAGCTAATTTTAAAAATTTTTAAATTTTTGTACAGATGTGGTTTCCTTATGTTGTTCAGGGTAGTGACAAACTCCTGGGCTCAAGCAAACCTTCCACCTCAGCCTCCCAAAATGCTGGGATTACAAGCATAAACCACAGCACCAGGCCCTTTTTCAAAATTATTGAGGTGCAATTCACATAACATAAAATTACTTAGGTTGTTTCTTTTGCTTTTTTTTTTTTTTTTTTTTTTTTTTTTTTTTTTCCAGAAACAGGGTCTCATTTTGTTGCCCAGGCTGGTCTTGAACTCCTGGGCTCAAACAGTCCTCTCCCCGCCGTCCCCCTCAGCCTCTCAAAGTGCTGGGAATATAGGCATGAGCCACTGTGCCCAGGCAATTGCCTATCTTAAAGTGAACAATTCAGAGACATTTAGTATATTTACAACATTGTACAACCACCACTTGTATCTGGTTCCAAAACGTTTGACTCATACCCAGAGGAAACCCCATGTCCATTAAGCAATTGCTTCCAATTTCCCCCTGCAGCCCCTGGCAACCACCAACCTACTTTCTGACTTTGTGAATTTACCTATTCAGGATATTTCCTATGAATGGACTCATACTATATGTGGCCCTTTGTAAAGTCACATCTTCTTAATAAGCATCATAATTATAAAATCTAATGTTAATGAGTGCATATAACAGATGAGATATTTAATCCTGACAAGCTTATAAATGGGTACCATTATTAGATAGACAAGAAAACTAGATTTTAGCTTAAATCAATACATTAAATTCATATGCTTGGGATCCATACATACGGCCAGCTAATAACCTTCTTTGGCCAGACCCAGTTACTTTAGTGCTTTTTCCAAATGCCACAGCCACATCTCAATTTTCATTTCCCTTATCACAAACAGATGGATAGATACTCCTTCTCAAGTTTAACAACTTCACAGAGCTTGATTCAAATACTGAATGTGTTGTTAGTTGCTTACAGCTGCTATTTTTCTAGCCGTGCACTAAGTCCAGGCAAACTCTTTTGAAGAGCTCATTAAAACTCCTAAAATAAAGTCTTAGAAGCAGGTGCATTCATTAGCTGAAATGCAGACGATTATGTTAATATCGCATTCAGGTGACAAATTTAAAGGCATCAAATCATGAAGGATAAAAGGATTTTCAAAGCTAAAGTTAACTTCTCCCTTTGTAGGGATCTTTGTTCTGGTAAGCATGTGACTGACTACAGCTGTCAACATCGGCACCTCCAAAGTTATCTCGCAAAACAAAGGTGTTTTGCAGTATCATACTTCTTTTACAATTTCCTGGGTCTCTATTGAAGAAAACAAAGGTAAGGAATTACCTACAAACCTGGTGCTATTTTTCAAATAGGAGATATGGCACCCCATTTACAATTTATCGTCAGATTGGTCTCAGGGGAAGAGGAGACGCATTGAAGAAGGTGATTAAAATATGTGTACAGTGGACTAGGCACGGTGGCTCATGGCTGTAATCCCAGCACTTTGGGAGACCGAGGAGGGTGGATCACTTGAGGTCAGGAGTTTGAGACCAGCCTGGCCAACATGGTGAAACCCCATCTCTACTAAAAATACAAAAACTAACCAGGCATGGTGGCAGGTGCCTGTAGTCCCAGCTACTCAGGAGGCTGAGGCAGGAGAATCGCTTGAACCTGGGAGGTGGAGGTTGCAGTGAGCCAAGATCGCACCACTGCACTCCAACCTGGGTGACAGAGCGAGACTCTGTCTGAAAAAAAAAAAAAATGTGGACAGTGATTCCCAATTTGGAAAAGATGGGCCAACAACTGTTTTACTTTGCCTTTTTTTCCTCCTCAATATTTTGAGCATGAAATATGCATGTAGCCACATACATATGTAACCACGTACATATTTCATATGTGTTTGGGAGACTATGTTAACAGTAGTTTCGGCCGGTCCTGGTGGCTCACGCCTGTAACCCCAGCACTTTAGGAGTCTGAGGCAGGCGGATCATGAGGTCAGGAGATTGAGACCAGCCTGGCCAACATGGTGAAACCCTGTCTCTACTAAAAATACAAAAATTAGCTGGGCGTGGCAGCGCGTGCCTGTAATTCCAGCTACTCAGGAGGCTGAGGCAGGGGAACCACTTGAACCTAGGAGGTGTAGGTTGCAGTGAGCTGAGATTGCACCACTGCACTCCAGCCTGGTGACAGAGCTAGACTCTGTCTCAAACAGCAACAACAACAACAAAAACCAGTAGTTTCATCAGGATAATTTTAATTTTCTTTTTTTGTGTATATTTTTATATTTACCAAATTTTCTACCATGAATATGTAAGTCTTTTAGAAACTTTAAATGTAATTTTTTAATTAAATTTTTTATTTTCAATAACTTGAAAAATTATCACTTAGCCTCTCCACATTCAGTTGTGTTACCTATAAAGTTGGCTTACTACTGAATTGCATAGCACATGGAAGCTGGATGAGATGTTTCCCCATGTTCCATTCCTCCTCTCAAATCTAGGATGTCTGTGGAAACATGGGTTCCTCCTTATAAGGCAATATAAGAAAACACAGCTAGGTTTTAACCATTTATAAGAACCATTTATAAGAATATAAAAACAAGCTTAAGGATTTTTACATCTTTCTTCAGAACGTCAATCAAGTGGGTATTTGTCAAAGCGAATCCATCTGTCACTCGCAAAGGAAAAAAGGCCGAACAACCTTTTTAGGCCAACTCTACTTTATTTATTTATTTATTTATTTACTTATTTATTTATTATACCAAAAAAGGCTGTGACGGCTTTGTAAGCTAATACTAGAACACATTCATTTGTTTTCCCAAAATGGTGTGCTAAAATGACTGCTGACTGCAAAATGTAAATAATGAAGCTGTCATAGAGTGGCACCTACTTATACGGCATGTTTGCATAGAATGTGTGTGTGTTTGCTAAATAGCTTGCAATTAACAAACTGAAAGACTGCTTGTACAGTGTAGTAGTCCTATTTTTGCCTGCTGTCCTCTTCAACTCTTCTCCTTCTAGCTCGCTCTGTACATTATTATTTGCTCTTTTTTCTATACAATTTAGAAGCCCATTAACCCCCATTTTAAAAGAAAAGCAACATGTAGATCAGGAAAAAAAAATCCCTACTGGGAATGGGTTGGGTAAGCAAAGACTTCTATATAGACATATACATACACACCCCTCTCCCTGGTCAAGAATGGCCTCGCTGAATCCCTGTTCCAAATGCCGAGACAAGTCTCATTAGCTGGAGCTCATTGTGTGCAACTCCTTTAACTGCTGGACAGCTCCGAGTCTCCTAGGAATACTTTTCCACACGCCCCATCCTCTTCTGTTTAATTCTCAGAGCTGGCACACACACAAAGGCTTCAGAATCAAGACAAAGTGAAGAAAATGACCAGAAGAGACTCCTGTTCTTCCAAAATAGTGCATTACTACCATAAGATTAGAGGGTAAACTTCAGAGCACAGGCTTGATTGATTGATGGATTGATTTTTTTTTTTGAGACAAAGTCTTACTTTGTTGCCCAGGTTGAAGTGCAGTGGCACAATCATGGCTTGCTGCAGCCTTGACCTCTTGGTCTCAAGCAATCCTCCCACTTCAGCCCCCTGAATAACTGAGACTACAAATGCGTGCCACCATGCCCAGTTAATTAACAAAAAAATTTTTTTTTTTTTTTTTTTGGTAAAGACAGAGTCTCATTATGTTGCCCAGGCTGGTCTCCAACTCCTGGGCTCAAGCAACTCCCACCTCAGCCTCCCAAAGTGCTGGGATGACAGGCATGAACTACTGTACCTGGCCAAGAGCACAGGATTGAAAGATGAACTTGAGAGGTCTCCCTAGTCAAGTTTCCTTTAAATGGATTCTCTCTTCTAGAGCATGCCTGATAGTCATCCAGCCTGACCTTGGATAACCATCCAGCCTGACCTTGAAATTTTCCAATGACACAAACTCTCTTTCATTTCCCACTTTTATATAGAGTACAAATAGCATTAAAACCACAATGCCAAAGAAGAAGAAGAAAAAAAAAAGTATGAATGATTTCTAATCAAATACTGTCAACATTTTAAAAATCACCATTTTGTTTTCTTTTGTTTCGTTTTTAAGACAATGTCTGGCTCTATTGCTCAGGCTGGAGCACAGTGGCACCATCTCAGCTCTGCAACCTCTGCCTCCCAGGCTCAAGCCATCCTCCCACCTTGGCCTCCTGAGTAGCTGGAACGACAGGCACACACTGCCACACCGGACTAATTTTAAAAACCAGCTATTTTAAAATTTCTGTTATTGAGCCAGAATCCAGGATGCAGTGAGAGTGAATCATTGACTGAAAGACGCTTAGAAGATTTTACTGGTCTGTGGTGTTCATCACACCATGAAGGCCAGACCCTGAAAAGGAGAACTGTGTAAAGAATGTATAAGCCTCAACACCACAGTATTGTCCAAGTCTATTCCTAATTCATCCTGCTTTGTTGCTCTGACACCTGTGCCACAAAAGAAAATTTGGGATTATCTTACCTAGGAACCTTGTCTTAAACTATATTCCAACATGTACGAACACTAAATTGAGCAAAGTAGGACATATGTCGTCAGGACCTCCTGAGGCTGTGTCATGGAAAAAAAATTTCTTTTAAAGAAAAGCAAAGTTGAGCAAAGCGTTCCTAAGTTACCTAAATTTTGCATGTGATGGTATTCCTTCGGAATGCTTTGGGAAGTTCAGCAGGATTCTGAAACAACTAAATGTGACAACACAAAGAACAAAAATAGACAAAGGAAAAAATTTAAAAGATAGTGTGTCCTGTGAAAACAGTCAGATATCCTTTCTTTCCACACTGGCTAAATGGGAGATTCTTTTAAAATGAGTTGTAATGACGAAAGTGGGGTTGAATTTTTTAAAAGCAAATTTTGAAAATTAGTTAGCTAATAGAGAAGGTATAAGACTGTGAACTACAAATTTTTCTAACTAAATTGAATGGAGAGATTTTAAAAATGACTATTATTTTCATGAATTATAAAAAAAATTCAAACAACACAAAATATTACAAAGAAGAAGAAACAACCCTATGTCCCATCACCTAAAAATAACCATCACCAATGTTAGGGGAGTATCATTCTAGATGTAGAAATGAGAGATAACTTAGAATTTTAAGAAGCAACTTACTCTTTGGCAACTAAGGCTGATCTTATTGTTGATGGTCTAATTGTGAGAGACTCCAAAACTGACTTTTTTATATGTCTGTTTTATTTGAAAAGTTATGAGAGGAAGGGAATTAATTAGAATTCTCCGTCCATAACCAGTGATAAGAACGTGAGTTCAGGCTGGGCAGCGTGGTTCACACCTGTAATCCCAGCACTTTGACAGGCTGAGGAAGGAGAATCCCTTGAGTCCAGGATTTGCCCAAGGAAACATATCTTATGTTTTAGATATAGCTGAATTGAGGGTTAGATCATTGACACATAAAAGAAAATAAAGGCCGAGCGTGGTGGCTCACGCCTGTAATCCTAGCACTTTGGGAGGCTGAGGTGGGCAGATCACGAGGTCAGGAGATCAAGACCATCCTGGCTAACACGGTGAAACCTCGTCTCTACTAAAAATACAAAAGATTAGCCGGGCATGGTGGCACATGCCTGTAGTCCCAGCTACTCGGGAGGCTGAGGCAGGAGAATGGCGTGAACCTGGGAGGCCGAGCTTGCAGTGAGCCGAGATCGCCCCACTGCACTCCAGCCTGGGTGAGAGAGCAAGACTCTGTCTCCAAAAAAAACAAAAAGAAAAAGAAAAAGAAAGAAAATAAAGATATTTGCTAATTTCTATTGAACTCACATTTAAAAATAAAAGAGAGACAGGGTCTTAATATGTTGTCCAGACTGGAGTACAGTAGCACAATCATTAGCTCACTGTAACCTCCAACTCCCGGGCTCAAGCAATCCTGCTTCCTAAGTAGCTGGGACTACTGATGCATGCCAATCCAGATGATTTTTAAATATTTTAAATATTTTGTAGAGATGGGTTCTCATTATGTTGCCTGGGTTGGTGTCGAACTCTTGGCCTCTTCAACCCAAACTCTATTTCAATATTCACTGAAGAATATTATTCTTACTTAGCCATACCCACTTCTCTTGGAGAAAAAAGGCATATATTTTCATTATAGGTGAAGGTGGATGCTACTGAGAAGGCCTTTATATATCACATCAAGGCCCATTTTTACTAGTTATACCTCTTTTTCTGAGCACATGAAATATTTTCCTGAGTCTTTTCTTTTTTTTTTTTTTTTTTTTGAGATGGATTTTATCTCTGTCACCCAGGTTGGAGTGCAGTGGCCCGATCTCAGCTTACTGCAAGCTCTGCCTCCCGGGTTTATGCCATTCTCCTGCCTCAGCCTCCCGAGTAGCTGGGACTACAGGCGCCCGCCACCACGCCCGGCTAGTTTTTTGTATTTTTTAGTAGAGACGAGGTTTCACCGTGTTATCCAG